AAATATAAGTACGTTATATTATTTACCTGCAAGAAGAGCACGCATCCAATATACTCGTGCTTCGTTTTTCCACCTCATTCAGATTCACCCAAGTGAGCCATCAAAGTTTCAAGCACGTACGTACACCAGTTGTACAACTTGATTTCATGCACATTATGCACAGCCTTTAATTCTTTGACATGCGTACTATAACGTCCACTGGGCGTTAAAAATGCAACACACGTAAGAAGAACAAACGCTCTTTTGAAATCATCACTAGCCTCACACTGCTCTACCCTTTCCATCAGATCATTTACATGCAGCCCACTTCGATAGCCACTTTTAGTTACCCAATCGGCTTTAAAAAGCTGACATGTAGGAACGTCCATGATTCCAACGGGTAAGCGAAAGATTTTGTGGACATCGATTGCATTTATTGGCAGATATTAATTATCTTCAAGTTGAATGCGCCGTTTCTTTATGTCCAAATGGCCAATTATGTAATCAAAGAGTGCGGTAGACAAATGCTCACATTGTAGGTTCAGCAAATAGCCAAAACCTATATCTGTCACATCCTTCCTCTTTTCGTCTCCAAGTTTCGCTACTGTGTTAATGAATTTCGCGATTGAGCATTTGTTCCACCCACTTTTCACCTTGTATTCAACCTACAACATCCCAATAAATTTAATGTCACATTCACAATTTCATTTAACTACCAATACAGAAGCATCAATTGCATTCTTTTGTACTTCATATTATGTTATCACAATAACAAATTAAATTAATAATTTAATTAAACTCCCCAACTTACCTTCTCCTTCTTCTTTTTGTTGACTGGTAAGCCTCTACGACTTTTGAACTCCACATCACGCAATCTTTTATCGTCATAATATAGACCCTTCTCCACCATGGTTAGACCATTCTAAGCATTCTTGCATTTCAATTCCAATATTTTTTTATCTCTCCCCTTCATTGCCCATGCACTTGTTGATAGTTCTTCATAAAAACAGCCCTCATAGACACAATATCATATATAATATCACCAACTCAACATTAGCATTTCAATTCAATACATATGCTTCACAACTTATTTCACAACTTACTTATAGACTTATCGATTCAAACATAAACATGTTGAACCAAATATTTCCTAAAATGTTCATATTTACCAAAGTAACACATCAGTAAAACATCAATTCCATTTCAAAGGCATGCAGAAATTATGTTCTACCATTATAAATAATTCATCCTAAACAATCAATTTCCATGTGAACGTAAATATCAGACAAATGAAAAATAATTCACAAATGTTATTCTTAACATTTATACTAAAATGAATGTATACTTACTTGAACAAAAAGGTAAACTCCTCCTCCACGCCGCATATTATTAACTGATGCGCTGCTGCTTGGCTGCGGATCATAATTCTCTTCCTTCGCCTCAACATTGTAATCCTCATCACCAAGGTCAGATGATTTATGGGTATGACTATGACTAGGAGTAGATGATTTAGGCGGGGGAGGTGTATGCCCCGCAGAAGAAGATTGATTACGCATGGTTTGCATCATACATTGGAGAGTAGGAGAAGGAGGAAGATCAACGATATTGTTCACATTTTTTTTCCGTATAGGTAATTTTTTTCGTACAAGACCTTTCTTTTGAGCTATCGACTTCTTCCGACCCATTTGTAAACCACTCTTTACAGCACAGCAAAGCACACACTATTATGCACAAACAACCTTTCTACCAATTGTCAGTCAACAAAATTTTAATCACAAACAGATAAAACAAACACACACACAATTAACTGCAAAAATAGTGCAACAACAAAATCATACCACCCAACAATAGATATAACACACCAATTACCATTACAAATTATATTCAAAATTGCATTCCCTTACACAAATAAAATTTTCATAATTTGCAATTCATTTTTCCACAATTTAATAATAACAAATAACTGTTATCACGAATTATACTGGACTATCTGGGCCACATATCGGAACCGGCAGGAACAAGTACAAGAGAGGATTCCTGCCCATGTGTATGACTAGAGTAGACTGCAGAATTAAACAATTGAATAGACCTTTAATTTAAAGAACTTGGAACCACTCCATTGCATACTATTTTGTATGGTATAAAGTGCATAACATGTAAATACATCATTTCAATGATATGATTAGTTAAATGCTTTATGAATTATGATTATTAAGTAGAAAAAGAGTTTGTAGGTATAATTTTCTTGGCCATTGTGTTGTATGGTATAAACTTGTTTTAGTTGTGCTATAACACAATTATAAATTAGAGTTTGAAAATTTTGCAATGTATCTCATTTTGACGATCTAAAGAATTTAATACATATAGGATCATCTTCTTCAAGTTTAATCTAAATTACATGACTGGAAGAGATTCCACTGCAAAATTCCAACATACCATTATCTATCTACTCTTTGACTATTGAGATGTGCAGAATTTAGATGATGATACATTTCAAAATAATCAAACAAAACTAATAAAACAGAATTTAATATACTATATTCAATCAAATTAAACTTCTGAGTTTGGAAAGGGATGGATAGAATTTAATAAGGTTCAATCAATTTATACTGTATTTTTATCACGAATAACTTTTCCAGGATTTCACAAATAATCAAACAAAACTAATAACACAGAATTTAATATAGTGTAATAACACATAATTTATTTATCACGAATCACTTTTTTAGGATTTCACAAATAATCAAACAAAACCAATAACTTTAATATAGTGTATTCAAAGAGAGTAAAACCTCTTTAGGTCCGAAAAACTTCCGCAAACCTAACTCCGACTGCTGTAACAACCGTCCGACAACTGTAACAACAACTTTTTTAGGATTTCACAAATAATCAAACAAAACTAATAACACATAATTTAATATAGTGTATTCAACGAAATAAAAACCTTTGCGTTTCCGAACAGAATTTAACCTTCTGCTCCGCAAACCTGACTTCGACCACTGTCACAACAGTCCGACAACTGTAACAATAACAATAACAACCTCTTCTCGCGACCTTCTTCCACCTCCACTTCCGAAAACCTAATTGCATGTACTTTACTTTCAAAAACCTAAGTCTGAGCTTGACTTTCTTCCACCTCCACTTCCGAAAACCTAATCGCCTCTACTCCACTTCCGAAAACCTAAGTCTGAGCTTGGCCTTCTTCCACCTCCACTTCCGAAAACCTAAGTCCGTCAACCTCTTCTCGCGATCTCCTTCCAAGTCCTCCTCAATCGCTCCTCAATCGCCTTTTTCGCCTTTTGGAAGTACTTCTCCTTCCGACCTAGAAAAATGAAGGAGAATTTGGGAGATTTTTGAATGTCGAGGATATTTCAATAAATTTCTCTAAATATTTAATATATACAAGTATATATACACAATATAATATATACATACACGAACATATATATTACAACGTATAAAAAGTAAAGGCAGATGGTAAATTTTTCCAATTTTATTTCATTGACGTGGTGTTATCTAGACCACAGATTGAAACCAGAGGGAACAAACAAGAACGGGAGAGGATAAGTGCCCCCACATAGACGTGATCAAATGAAAAGATTCAGGTTGAGTAGTTGAAAGTTCACCAATGTTCAAAGATATGACACAAAGAATACCATTATTATATTGGGAGCAATAGCGTTATATAATGGTATTGGATGTGTCAGCATTCTTATCGTAAGTGGTTGTGCATAAAAAAACAGACATCGACACACGGTATCCACAAGATCTCCACTTAATATGAGTGGTGGATGGTGACAAATGAATGGTTCATCGAATGAACGCATAAAATAATAATATATCTATCTCACTAATAATAATGGAGTGAGGGATGCAAATTGGTGAGCAAGGCCGGTTGGGTCAACAAGGTAAGGTCATATATACGAAGAAAGCAACTTCATGTTTTGGACCTTCTCAATCAATTATTGATGGATCCCTTCTGTCCATGCTCCACCACAATTTTTCTTCATAATTCACATGCTGCTGCTAGTGGCCTTCTGTTTTTTGACTTTTTGGTCCTTACAAAAGCATTCATTTAATTGTAAAATTACATATTATCCATTCTATTATCTTTATTAAAAGCGATTTTGAGTTAATGACAGGGATATCAATTTTTACCGTCTCGTTGGGATCCCGTCCCGTCCCGTTAATAACGGATATGGAAACACTTTTTATACCGTTGGGGCAAGCATGGATACAAATTTTGTACCCGTTACGGGTCATGGGGTAGGTAAGGGTTCAGTATACATATCATAGGGGCCCTGTCCCGCCCCTCTAAGCATATATATATATATATATATATATATATATATATAAAATATTAATAACTTATCTTAGTGATTTACCCAGCTACCCATCTCTTATAATCCTAATTTGTGATGTAAATTTGTATTAAATTTGATTTTGTTTTAGTTATAGTAGAAGTTGGAGTTTAAAACTTCTTGTGATTTGGTTGTATTAAACTTTTATTTTTGTTTATTATATTCTCTGAATTATGTTATGTGCATGTTATTTTTGTTGGGATACATAATTTGATTTATGTTGTACCATTTCTAGGCTTTCCACATTTAAATAGCAGGAGTTTAAGTTCTAAAAAGTGAAAGAAAAAAATTTGGTAACGGGGCAGGCACGATGGCATAGTATTTTCCAACAAGGCTGGACTGGACATTAAAATTCAACCCGTCGTGGGTCTCGGGGCGAGCATGGACTTGACAAAAATTAAAAGGGGCGGGACGGGATTTAGAAAAATCCGCTCGAAATTCGTTCCGTTGCCATTCCTAGTTAATAATAGTAATAATATATAAATACTGAAAAGATAAAAAAAAAAAAAAAAAACTTATATATTGGAAAGAGTAACGGTTAAAAAAATAAATAGATAATAATAATAATAAAAGGAAACAGCGTGAAAGAAGGGGTGAGCAGCCAGGGATGGAAGGTGGAAGTTTAAATTGGGTGGAGGGGAGAGAGGCGTGTTCTGTATGAAGTAGTCCGTAATTGTAAACGACATTGTCCTTGTTTGAAAAAGAATTGTGTGTGTGGGGGTGTGGGGTGGGGGTCCCACCCATATTCCTTCCTTGGAAATTTGATTGATGGATGCCCAGCCAAAGCCAGAGGCAGAGGCAGAGGCAGGGTCAGACCCAGACAGCCAAGATTATCCGATACCACTTCATCTTCCACCTCCTCCTCCTCCTCTGTTACGTTGCTGCTTGTACCTCTCTCCCAAACTCTCTCTGTAATTAATTAATTAATTGATTTTGAAGATTAGTTAATTAGTTATACGTAGAGAGCAAGGAAGGTTACAATAAGGAAGGAAGAAGCCGAAGAAGGGGAAGGGAAGGGAAAGGAAGGGTTAGAGAATGAGCGTGGCGGGGATTCAGGCGGCAACACGGACGCATGTGGGGAAATACGAGATCGGTAAAACCCTGGGTGAGGGCAGCTTTGCCAAGGTCAAGTTCGCTAAGAACATTGACACCGGAGACAGCTTTGCCATCAAAATCATTGACCGTGATCGTGTCCTTCGTCACAAAATGGTCGAACAGGTACTACTGCCCACTCACACATGGAAATGTATGCATGTGTGTGTGTGTGTATATATATATATATATTAACACTTTTATGCTAATTTTATTTCTCAATATATATTATAATAAAAAGCATTTATTTATTTATTTGGATATCAGATAATGGAATATGAATGAATCCCTTTGTCCTCCCCTCACGTTTACCTGAAATGAAAACGTCCGATCCTTTTCACCTGAAGCCAGAGAGGACATGATACCCTCCCAGACCTTCACTCTACCTTATCATATGACATTTGAAGAATTTATCCCACCTTCACAGGAGTACACATATTGCTAAATTTGGCTTTTGATTTGTACTCGTATCATTTATATTTGCTCCCTTGATTTGTATGCTCCACCTCTAGCTTGCTTCCTGCACTATGCACCTATTATATATCCTTTGCTTTAAAACAACACATCTTATCCACCAAAAACAATTACTTTTGTGCAAATATATATACTTACTCTTATATTATTCCGAATTCCATGCTTTAGTGGAAACCAAATGGAAACTGTTTGACCATATAATGTGTATAATTACTAAAGGGTCGCGAAGAAAAAAACACTTATGGTATGCATATAGGGTGTATAATCCATGTTGTAAGTTCTAAAAAGTCCCTAATATTCAATTTTGGAGCAAACAAGGATCTGAATGCTGAAAAGACTAAAGTACCCCCCTATAACTGAATAAAAATAGGTAAAAAATTAATTAAATGTGAAATGACTAAACTGTCCCTCTTTTTTTATATATATAATATAGGGTTGACGGCAAAAAACACCTTTATGGTAATCCCTTGTACGTTCTAAAAACTCCTTAACATTCAATTTTGGTGCAAACAAGGACCTAAATGCTGAAAATACTAAAGTATCCCTCTATAACTGAATAAAAAATTGATAAAAAAACTAATTAAATGTGACAAGTGTATATATATATATATATATAAGGGCATTATCGGAAGAGACAATGGTATTTTTGGAATTTAATATGTTAAAAATGACCTCAATCCCTTCTTTGTCACCTTTTTTCAAACTTAACAGACTTATATACTCAAAATAAAGGATAGAAGTGTTATTAGCCAAAAATGTAAACATTAGGGGTGTTTTTCTCACTTTGCCCTTATAAGGGCATTATCGGAAGAATTAAGGGTGTTTTCGGAATTTTATATCTTAATCGTGACTTCAAGCCCTTCTTTGCTCATTTTTTCAAACTTAACGGACTTATATACTACATAATCCCTTCTTTACTCATTTTTTCAAACTTAATGGAGTTATATACACAATATAAAGGATAAGGGTGTTATTTGCCCAAAATGTAAACATTAAGGGTGTTTTTCTCACTTTACCCAATTACTAAATAATAACCTATGTGGCACCTCAACATTAAATCAATCAACTTTTTAAGGGTCAAGTGCTTAGAAAATAAAAATTAATGAAACTCTTCTTAATTTCCTTTAACAATAATGTACTATATTACACATGGTTAGCATTGTGATATAGATACAATACAATAGTAACATAAGACACGAGGTAGGTGACATTAAAGTTGCAACATACCCTGGACTATCTAAGGCCTATAACACATACTGAACTGTTTTACTTCAATGGGATCCCACGTTACCGTGAAGTTCACATACGAGGTCATAAAACTGATTGTAGCTAATAATTTCTTTGTCCAGTTCACTATTTCACATCATTGCAATACAAGTGCATTACTATTTTCCACCAGATAAATAATTGTCTTAAAACAAAAAAAAAAGACTGTATATTTAATGAGACACTTCATTCAACAAATAGACACCACTGGTTAATAAGTTCACATTTTGCAAGTTAAAAAGACTCTTAATCTAGCTCTTACTCATAGAAGAATGATCAAGTAAATGAGAATTATAGCATATATATTGCATGCAAGAGTACTGATGCAAATGAAAGGGAGAAATGCAAATAAACCAATAAGGATTCAAATCTCCGAACATCATGCACAAACAAACCCAATACATTAAAATAAATAAATAAATCACAAATTGACAATTGGGTTCAAATCACCAAACATCATGCACAAACAAACCAAATACTTAAAATAAAATAAAAAATCATAAATTCACAATAGGGATTCAAATCACCGAACATCAACCACAAATAAAAAAATGGGCGGAGTTTTATATCTTTCGTATCGAATTAAATAATAAAAATAATAATAAAAAAATGTATAGAAACTCTATGTACATTTATATAGGTATATAGATAGATAATATAGTCATGATATAGAGTTTGAACTCTAGAAAAGCCAAAAGAGAGCAGTGTGGGCCCCACCCTCCTCTCTTTCGTCCGTTCAGAGTTCGGAGAACAAATAATTATCCATAATATAGATGCATGTCTTTACATTTCCATTATGTCAAGATACCTAACACATTCTTATTCTTTTATCCGGACTTGGAACTCGCTGTGTAAAGAATGACATGGGCGGAGTTAGTAATTGAACTATTCTGTTTGTACTTAAATGAATACATTTTGTAAGTTGCTGTTTTTACTTGTAAGTTGTAACTTATTACTGATTTAGAATATAGTTCTTCTTCTTTAAAATAAAAATTTGGTGTCGCTTTTGTTGTTTCTAGATAAAAAGAGAAATAGGTACAATGAAGTTGATCAAGCATCCTAACGTCGTGCAACTCTTTGAGGTACCTTGCAACTCCATTTTGTTGAGTCATTGCAGTTTACAGTAATTGTAAAATTTGTTCTGGATTATCAATTATGTAATAGTATGATCATATATCAGGTATAACATGGACGAAATGAAGACACAGTGGAATAATCTGATGATGTGTTTTAAACGTGGTTACTTTTGATGCAACTTTATTTATTTATTTATTTTTGGGTCTTTTTTTTGTTCTCAAATTCTGTCACTCCTGTAGAATAATTAAAGATTAAGCTTTCACAATTAGAAGTTATGATCATTTTGGCTTAAACCTCCGAATAAGATAGTGCAGGAAGTATTATAGATGCACCTCAAAATGTTCAATGAATAGAGGAACTTGTCAATTTTGTCAGCTTGGAAAGGCATAATGCGAAATTTGCTAGTGAAACAATCATGTCTTTACCTACTTGGCACTAATTTTATTTTTATTTTTATTTTGATACTTAAGTAAAATTATATTGCCAGAAAAGAAAGAATAGACAAGAAGATTCACGGTACCTTTACATTCATGCCCTTAAACTTAACCGCAATTAACATACAATTTGATAAGTCATATTGCGTATCTGTTACCAAAAGGATCATTCAAGTAAATGCATGCATTTCAATATGCGTCTACCAATAATTATAAAACAATTGGAATTGAGTACTGTGTTTCGGAGGAACACACCTACTGAAGAGAGCATGTTCCCAACCCAACAATCCTTTATTCTGAATTAGACATTATAAGCTTATCCATGGCTACCACTCACGTAATATACACTAATCTGGACTGAAGGGTTGTCAATTCCACATACCAGATTTTCTCTGTGCCTCAGCCTGTAAATGTGTATCTTAATTTGTGATTGAAAATTGAAATAGGTTATGGCAAGCAAAACGAAGATCTATATTGTGCTTGAGTATGTTGATGGAGGCGAGCTCTTCGACAAAATAGTAAGGCATTGTTCTCTTAGCATTGTGTCCTTCAAGCACCTTTCGTTTGATTTATAACACAATATACTTTGTACTGTACTATACTATAATGTAAGCATGCTAACATGCCATGATGCTTTTTCTCTTTGGTATTGGATGTTATATTGTGCGTTTATGTATGTGTAATCATTGGGCATTGAAGAACATCCCTCGCCTTACTGGCTTAGTTTTATTTGCAGGCTAAGCATGGGAAACTTAAAGAAGATGAAGCCAGGAGGTATTTTCAGCAGCTCATCAACGCTGTGGATTATTGCCACAGTAGAGGCGTGTACCACAGAGACCTAAAGGTTTAATATTTTCTTTTTCTGTTCAATGCTGTGGTCAATGGGTTTTTCCTGGAATGGAGATTTTGTTTTCTTTGGCTCTATTCAACTACGGTGTATTTACTTCGCATCTTTTGCAGCCCGAGAATCTGCTTTTGGACTCATTTGGTAATCTTAAAGTTTCAGACTTTGGATTGAGTGCATTTTCACAACAAGTACGGGTACGTATTGTTAATGGGTAACATGTTCTTGAAAATTGTGAAACAAATATTTAGTCACGGTCATGTCCTCACTGATCGTAGAACATGAAATTATCTGTTTTGGTGGTGGTGGTGGTGGTGGTGGTGGTGGTGGTGTTTGGGGTGGGGGGGGAGATCGGGTGTCTAAACTAATCTCAGTGAGTGGCAGACACTTGATCTGATCTGCTGGATAAGTTTTTATTTTGTACCCGTTTCTTATTAGTTTCACTTGAATTGGCTTTGTTGAAAGATATAAAAAAAAGTTGAAGAGAGAAATTAAAACATGAAGAACACAAGAATATAACGTGGTTCAACTACTAGAGCTTACATCCACGACACACAAAGCCCAAAGGGCTACATCTCTTTCGTTACATTCTCTCTTAATGTTGTTTACAATAACCACCTCTATTTATAGGTGAATTGGGGAAGACTTGCAGCTAGAGAATAGAAATTTCTTGCTCTCCAAGTATTTTATAATAAAGGAATTACACAGAAAGTCAAATACAAATATAGCAACAACTTGTTTCCCAAGTATAGCAACTTTAACATTCTACATTCTGTTAAAGAGTGATTTAAGGGATTAAATCACTCCTATAATTATTCTCCAACAGGCTTAATACCATTTTTCTCATTGTAGGAAGATGGGCTGCTTCACACTGCTTGTGGGACACCAAATTATGTCGCTCCTGAGGTATCAGCTATGGTTTTATGCAATTGAAAGGTTGCAATTATGCAATTTCTTGTGTGTGAGATGATTTTTTCTTATCAGGTGCTCACTGATAAAGGTTATGATGGTACATCATCTGATATATGGTCATGTGGGGTCATTCTTTTTGTCCTTATGGCTGGATACTTACCTTTTGATGAGCCAAATCTCATGGCTTTGTATAGGAGAGTAAGTCACAAGAATTTTGCTTCCTGTTTTGTGATGCTTTGAATTTCGTGCAGAACATATCTGAATGGTCTAATTGATTGTCAGATTCACAAAGCTGATTTCTCATGTCCATCATGGTTTTCATCTGGTGTGACGAAATTGATAAATCGTATTCTTGACCCAAATCCACTCACTGTGAGCTCAAATTCTTTTCTGGTTTGAACTTCATTAAATTACTGTGTTTTCTCCAGTTCCTTTTCTTTGATGTTTACCATTTAGAGATATAGTTTAATGAACATATCTATAATTTCTTCTATTACATGTTGTTTTCCCCTCGGGTAAAAAGTAGCTGTTTTGTTGCAGCGGTTAACAATTCCCGAAATATTAGAAAATGATTGGTTCAAGAAAGGATACAAGCCACCACATTTTGAGCAGGGAGAGGATGTGAATCTTGATGATGTAGATGCTGTTTTCAATAGTTCGGAGGTGAGACATTTTATTTGTATTTTTCCATAATGTGTTCTTTTAGCTGCATGAGAGTGTGTTTGAAATGTGCAGATCCCATTTTTTTATAAAGATCCTTTTGCAAATGACATTGTGAAGTAGGAGACAAATAATAGATTATTTTCCTATGTTCTTGTCTAGAAAAGAAAATGGAAGTTATTGAGTTTGGTTTTATGGCAATTATAACTGACAATATCGTCATTCTGAAATGAAAAAAATTAGATTGAGTCCAATCTGGCATTACTCATTTTCGTTTTTCTTGTCATTCATTTTTAATGTGCAGAAACATCTTGTAACAGAAAAGAAAGAGAAGCCTGTATCCATGAATGCCTTTGAGCTTATTTCAAGGTCACAGGGTTTCAATCTTGAAAATTTGTTCGAAAAGCAGATGGTATGTTATGTGAGGTTTCTTTGCTTGTGCTAATGAATATTCTAGTGTTGTTGAGGTAGATTTGTATTTTCCCTTTAAATTTTAGGTAAAATTTATCACTGCTGACCTAATATTTCTTCACCGCCTGTTTGATCCCAAACTATAGGATATTGTGAAGCGAGAAACATGTTTTGCTTCCAAGCGCCCTGCAAATGAGATTATGTCTAAAATTGAGGAAACTGCAAAGCCTCTGGGTTTCAATGTCCACAAGCGAAATTATAAGGTATTTCTTTCTTGTGTTGCACATCTTGATATGCTTTTATCATGATCTGCCTGTGCCAGTATCTTCACCCAGAAAGGGGTACTGGTTAGTATATGCAGTCTGACCTATTAAAAAACAAGAGAAAAACAGAAGAAAACATTTTTGTATATTTACATCTTTTTGTTCTAAACTGTTCCAGATGAAGTTAAAAGGTGACAGAACTGGAAGGAAGGGCCACCTTTCTGTAGCTACAGAGGTATTGACTTGATCTTTGGTGAATGTTAGATTTTTTATTTTTTTCTTTGCTATTCAAAGTTCACTCATTGAGGATGAAGAGAGAGAGAGATACAATATTCTCATTTGTTTGTTGGATATGGTATATCAGAGAGAGGATTCAAAAGCTACAAAAACAAATTCGGCCTCACCATGTCCTGATGTGGATGTTTGATTATGTTTTATCATTTATGTGATGTCCCACATCGGTCAGGGGGGAGGAGAGGTTGTTGATATTTATATGTGTGGACACTTCCTAACTGTAGACACGTTTTCAAAACAGTGAGCACGAAGAGTGTGCAAAGCAAACAATATCTCAACAGGGTGGGGCATGACATATAGTATTAGAGTCAATTTCCAGTCGGAAATGGGGGAGTGTGCACAAACCCATGTGAGTCACGCAAGCAAGGACACTGTGTCCCAAGAGGGGGTGATTGTGACATCCCACATCACCTAGGGGGAGAGGTTGTTGGCACTTGTATGTATAGACACTAGCTAAACTGTGTAAACATGTTTTAAAAATCGTGAGCACGAAGAGTGGGCAAAGCGGACAGTATCTACGCAGGGTGGGGCAGGTCGTGACAATTTCATATCCATAATTCTTCTTGAAATAGATATGCATACTCTTTTGAAGAGAGAGAGAATAGAAAAAAAGGGGTGGAGGTGTTTGGGGATGGTACAAAATAATATCCCAATGTATTTGAGAGGAACTAAAATGGGTCTACATTTCGGTTGAGTCATAAAGAATTTATAAATCTTTCATAAGATTCATGAGGTATCATTTTTTTGCTTTCTTTTTCCCATTGATTTATGGTGATGATTTTTCTACTATTTCTCAATTATTTATTTATTTATTTATTTGAGGGTGGGTGGAGATGTAGTGAGGTCATGAGTCCATAAATTTATTGATAGATATATCATTTACCTTGTATGCTATATGTGAGGCCTTGTGTGAGCAATTTGTCTCTTCACATTCCGAGTTTGGATGTTTGACATCTGCTATTTTCTTTACCTTTTTGCCTGAAATAGAAAGTAATATGTCTAATCATGGGTTTTGTATTCTTAGATTTATTTATTTGCTTATATGATATGTATGTGGTTTGTGTAAGCATCTATGAAGCATAGACACAGATAATTAATATGGACATGACACAATACTTATATTGCGTTTACAGGCATTACAATAAATTCTTAATAAGTAGAACATAAATATGACAAGGATACAACATTTTATATATATATATATATATATATATATATATATATATATATATATATAGTGTATTAATGTAGATATTTATAGAAATTAGAAAATTAGAAGTTTTGGGTTTTGGCTTACTCAAACAGAGAGCCAAGAGCTATATTTATATACAAGAACAGAATACAAAGAAAGGAAACCAAATCAAAGAAAAACAGGAAATATGCCAAAATCTACGTAATCCCATAATCATGGGGATCTTATTTACGTGATCCCATGATTACGGGGATCTTATCGTGATCCCATGATTATAGGAATCTTACATTAAACACCTAACAGAAGGCTAAAAACAGCTAATAAAAATAAAAAAAATAATAATAAAGATATTTCAACATTCCCCCTCAAGCTGGAGTGAAGATATTAATCAATCCCAGCTTGGTAATCTAGGAATGAAGCAAAGATGGACCAACGGATTTGGTGAACACAGAATCTTACATAAAACACCTAATAGAAGGCTAAAAACAGCTAATAAAAATAAAAATAGTAATAATAAAGATATTTCAACACTCCCCCCCAAGCTGGAGTGAAGATATTAATCAAGCCCAGCTTGGCAATCTAGGAATGAAGCAAAGATGGACCAACGGATTTGGTGAACACATCGGCCGATTGATTAGAGGACTGAACAAAGCATGGCTTGATAATTTCCGAACGAACCTTCTCTCTGATAAAATAAATGTCCACCTCTATATGTTTAGTCATCTTATGAAGAACAGAATCTGAAGCAAGCATGATGGCTGACTTATTATCACAAAACAAGTTTGAGGACTGTTTTTCACTTAGCCCTAGCTCTTCCAAGAAAGATCGAAGCCAGAGAATCTCACAAGTACCCTGAGCCATGGCACGACACTTAGCCTCTGCTGAAGATCTCGAAACTACAGGTTGCTTCTTACTTTTCCAGGATATAAGATGGTCTCCATAGAAAGTACAGAAGCCAGATGTGGAATGTCTGTAAGTCTTGGACCCAGCATAGTCTGCATCATTGAAACCGAATAGCCCAACCTGCCTGCAAGAAGAATAGACTAATTCAAGTCCAGGACAAGACTTAAGATATCGAAGAATACGATATACTACATCCATATGAGCTGTACGAGGAGCATGCATAAACTGGCTCACAACACTAACCGCAAAAGCCAAATCAGGACGGATGTTGGTAAGATAAATCAATCTTCCTACCAAGCACTGATACTGCAAGGGATCCGAAAGGAGATTTCCAGACTCGGCCGATATCTTCAGATTAGGATCTATAGGAGTGGAAGTAGGTTTACACCCAAATATACCTGTGTCTTAAAGAAGATTTAAGACATACTTCCTTTGCGATAAAGAGATACCCTACTTAGATCTAGCAACCTCAATTTGCAAGAAATATCTAAGCTGCCCAAGGTTTTTCACATCAAAAGCTTTAGCCAATTAAAGCTTTGTTTTATCAATCCCAGGGATGTCATTGCTAGTAATGATGATATCATTAACATAGAAAAGAAGAATGTTATGTCGACCAGTGGAGGAACGGCAAATAAAACATGTATGGTTAGAATGGCATCTAACAAACTCCATGGATAGAATTACATCACTGAAGCGGCTGTACCAAGCTCTGGGAGATTGTTTTAACCCATTCAAAGACTTTTGCAATCGACAAACCTTTCGAGCATATTCCCCCTCAGCCCGAAAACTGGGTGGAGGATCCATGTAAATAGTCTTACGAAGATTACCGTTAAAGAAAGCATTCTTCACATCAAGCTGATGAAGAAGCCAATTGTGAGAGGCAACCAAGGAGACAAGCAAACGAACTAGGGTCAATTTAGCCACCAGAGCGAAGGTATCATTAAAGTCTTTACCAGGAATCTGAGTAAACCCTTTGGCCACCAAACGCACCTTATACCGTTCAAGAAAGCCATCAGCTAGATATTTAACATTGAATACCCATTTGCAACCAACAGTCTTTTCACCAGGAGGGAGAGATACAAGCTCCCATGTTTCATTATGTTGCAAAGCATGTATTTCTACCTTCATAGCAGACATCCAGTTGGGATTCCGGAGAGCCTCAGACACATTTATGGGAATGGAAATGGAAATGGAATCAAGTTTGCCTAGAAATGCTCGGTAAGACCCTAAAAGACCATCATAAAATATATACTTGCGAAATAGGATGATCAGTACTACAAGCGAATCCAAATCGAGCAGGGGGTTTGCGGTCTTGAGCAAGATACCAAGACTCCGGAACAAGGTCAAGTAAATGTAAAGGAGGGAAAGGAGATGTACCTGAACCTGTATCTCAGGAGGATGAGGGCAGTGGAGGCGGAGCACGAGGGCGGCAAGAATAGACCTGCAAAAGGGGTGAGCAAACCACAAAAGAAGACTCTTCTTGAAAAATAGGAAGAGGACGAGCAAGAGGAGAAGCCTCTTGATCGGGAGTAGAATTTTCCTGAAAGATAGTGTTAGAACCATAAAAAGGGGTATGCTCATGAAAGGTGACATCAAGAGAGTGGTACATGTGTTTGTATGCAGGATCGTAACACCGGTAACCTTTTGACATGGAAGAGTATCCTAAAAAGATACATTTAATGGCCTTGTCATAAGTTTAGTACGAGAAGGGCTACGATTCTGAACAAAACATGTACATCAAAACACCAGAGGCATGATGGAAAAAAGAGTTATATCAGGCTGATGCACTTGTAAGGGGGCCTGATACCAAACTGATGCTGCCTTACCAAGAGAGGATACAATTAAATCGTCTTCACAACAATATTGAAACGAAATAAAGAACAAAAACAAGAGAGAAGAATAAATTGCAAAGAATTGCAAGGCAAACTTTATTTGTTGTAAAAAAAAAAATAATAATCTCTTCAGCTAAAACTGTAAACCCTAGCAATAACAAGGCTTTATATAAAGTTTCTTCCTTCCCAATCCTAGCATTATATTAGCTAACTACCAAATATAAAATAAAATCAAAATAGGAAATCTGCTGAAAATCAGAAAATTACTCAAAATAAGGAGACTTTCAAAATATGGAAAGTTTCTAAAAAACACTTTCTACTTGCAGAAATTTGAAATTCTGTGTGTATCAATAAACCTATAAGAAGGGAAAAACAGAGAGCTAGATCAAGCTAGGGAATAGCTTAAACACCCCAACTCAATCCCAAAAGAAAGGGAGAGGTAGAAAGCTGCTATAGCAGGGTAAATATTGATAATACCAAAAAGCTGTTGAATACAACTTGGAACAACACAAGGGATGCCCTAGCAAAGATTAAATCATAACCCTTCATATAAATATAATCTAATAGAGTATTCTATTAAGTAGAATAAAGACACTAACAATGACAAAACGGTCCTTAAATGGTCACATGACTTAAAAAGGCACATGGCTTACAAAATAGAACTAGAATGACAAAACTATCCTAGCTAGAGCTCAAGACAAACATTAAACATGAAATAAAGACAGATTTAAGACTTGAATAAATAACTTAAGACCCATAAACAATCACACAATCTGATGACAGTTTCAGCTACCCCTATTAATGCAAACTGAGCCTAGTCTTCTTAGGATGTTCAACTGTTTAAAGAAAGTCCTCTTTCACTTGCACGGAATCACATTTCCTCCATGATTTTTTTTTGATAAGTAAAAATAAATCAATCACATTTCCTCCATGATTGAAACACATTTAGAAGAGTTTAGATAAATCAAAAGTTCACCTTCTCTCTTCTTTTGCAATAACATTGTTCATCTTAAAAGTTACAGAAAATCTCAAGATTATTTGATGTAGAGAGTGCACGAGTGGATGTTTTGGTTGCTTACTGAAAGATGAGGAGAAGAGAGATGGACATGATGTTAGGACTGATTCATTTGAGAATGACAAAATGCATGTGTGTGATATATGTGTGTGTGTGTGTGATGTATACAGACAAGCGGGTTTCGTGGATGGGTCATGGGTCTTCTCTTTCTTTTATCTGTTTCTTTTTCTCTTAAATCTTGGACACGTGGCACAATTTAATTTGATGGATGGATCATAAAACTCCGTCATTTAGGTAATAGACAAATTGGTAATTTATCATCACAAGTAACGGCAAGTTTACGGTGGTGAGACGGTAGGGGTAATTGTAACATTTGGAGGAACTTTAAGGCTTTGTTGCTTGAATAATAGTTCGAGGGGGGTTATTTTCAAAATTGTTATGGTTCGGGCCCTTCGGGGGGATTTATTGCAGTTTACCCATTTAAATATCATAATTATTTGTCATATTATAGTTATAACAATTATAACATGCCAAACAAGCTTATATTGCATGAACACACATTTTGGACTATATTTGACACGTCAGCGCTGATACATGCACTTGAAAGACATTCCTGAGTCCATGTAACATAAGACAGGATATATTCCATTATATCTCAATTTTTCATTTTTGAAGAAATTCCAAGTCTTTGGAGTATTTGTTAGCTTTTCCCAGCAATTATATTATGATATTTTATTAGAAAATTCTCATTTTAATGTTCAAGACATGTTAAACTTGTGTTCCGAAGTATTTTAGTATCAAATACGTAGTCAGAGTATCTAAAATGTATCGGATACGTGTCCGAAATAGAAAGATCTAGTTTTAAATAGTGGATATGTTTAGGTAGAATTGGACACGTGTCGCGAGCATCGGATGAGTGTGTTGCAAGGAATTTTTCAATGAAACAGCATCTAATTAAACTACTCAGGTTGTTGACTGTTTTCGACTTCAGGTTTTTGAGGTGGCTCCCTCGTTACACATGGTGGAGCTCCGGAAAACAGGCGGTGACACACTAGAATTTCACAAAGTATGTCTTACTTTAGTTGCTAGAGTCCTTGCAACAGTTTTATTTCAAGGAACTTGAAACATTTAAGACGCCAACTTTACCATTCACTGATTTGGTTCCCCAATTATATAATCAAATGGCAGTTTTATAAGAGCTTCTCATCAGGATTAAAAGATATAGTCTGGGACACTGAAGCAAATACTAAAGAAATGAGGTGAGCTTTCTTTTTCTTGTGTGTATTTTACAATTTTATCATCACCATCATCATCATCATCAACACCTCATCATTTGATTCGTTGTTTTCTGTGCAGGTCTTAACAATTGTTGCGTCCATTTATTAGTTAAAAATCCCGTGTGTTTATTTAAGCCCCCATTGCAGACCTCAAGCCGAGGGTTATTGAATGGACAGTGGTCCATTAAAGTCATGGATGTGTGAAGAAAATAGCACCATTCATTATTTACGATTGTTATTGGGATCTGTGGCCACTGAGGAGGGAAGTAATTCAAATCCCTGAATTTGAGGTCCTAGTTGGTTTCCTTTCTTGCATTTCAATTTTTCTATAAATTAAGTGAAACTATTGGAATTTTCAGACAGATTGTTTCGTAAGTTAGAACTGTCCTGGATCTCCAACAAGGGACATTTGGGTAAAGAGGGTAGCTTCATCCCTAGATTATACTAATTCCTTAACATATGCATGTTTCCCAAGCTTATATGATTGAGTTATTCCAAAAATAACTCCATAGACTGGCGAAGTGGGAATCGGTGACATGAGTGGTTGGTTCTCGTGGACACTCCATGGTGGGTCGCAAACTTACAATCATTGAATTAGTGCTCTCCTGTGTTATATGTGCGTGCCTATTGAAGAATTTGGTAATACAGCTAGTACACGTTCATATGCTAATTAGTAATTATAATCTCGTTAGTAAGCTGTTACTTTCCGTATTTAAAAAAGAAATAAATGAATGGTAGCCTAATGTTATATATTCCTCCTCTGAATAGCACTACCGACCGAAGACCAAGGAACCACTATTGAGTTGGCTCAAATTTCTCATTCCGGACAGGCCCTGTCATTAATTACCATGACAGTTGCCATCATTCCCTGATGGATGCAATGGATACTGTTGGCCGCTGCCTCTTTTAAATGCCACAAAGGCACAAATGTAAATGATCTTTTGGCATGTACGACTCTTTTTCTCTCTATATGTATACACACGCATACATATATGTGTGTGTGTGTGTAGAGAGAGAGAGAGAGAGAGAGGGAGAGGAGTGTTTAACTTCTAATTGTAGCCTTAAGGTCTGATCAAACTGGTAATTAGTTTAGTTAATTAACTTCTCTTTTCTTTATTTTAAGAAACTTACTCTTTCTTTCCATATCATTAAATATTGTTAAAGAGAAATAATAGAAGTAGATAATTTATTAAAGGAAACGAGAATAAAACAATTTGGCTACCCTTTGCCTGGGTTTTTCTGTCCCGTAAAAACACCCTTCCCAATCATTACTTCTTGTTTGTTCAAATTTCAAGGTTTTAATCAAAACTCAAATTTCAAGATTGATTCACAACTAATTTAGAATTAGGAGATGACTATTGGCTTAATAAATTTTTTAGAAGGGTCTTGCCAAACAACTCTTAATATAATATTTTATGTACATCTAAATGTTCTCAGTGTCTTTTTTGTCTTTTTTGGATAAATTAAATGTTCGAAGTGTTGATCCATGCCAAAATTTGTATAATATAATAGCAAATCTTAGGTTTTTTCAAGGTCCTTAATTTAAAGTATTCTAATGGAGAATTATGTTCTCTATTTATTTAAAATCATTTAGGTATATGTTTTCTTAATTTATTGCATAATTTATTCTATTGATAAAGTGTAGGAAGAAACTAAAAATGATGACTTTTAATTTCTAGATTAATTTTAGTTTGTAGTGGCTGCTTGCGGATTTGGCAAAAGTAGCCAAATTAATTTTATTCTTGTTTCTTTTAATAAATTGTCTAGTTTTGTCATTTTTTTTTAATTATATTTAATGATATGAAAAGAAAATGTAAATTTCTTAAAATAAAGAAAAGAAAAATTAATTAACTAATTGTTGAATTAATTGATTGTTTGCTAAGACCGCTAATATTTATTTCAATTATTAGTATTTGTTTAAGCTTCCAGCGAAATTGAGGGCAAGTCCAAAGGCGAAAATTATTTGAATTTTTTTTTTTGAAATTCTAGTTCTTTCTTATTAACTTAATTTCTCAACTTAAAGCAACATGAATGGGCAGAGCCTCATCTGGTTGGGTAGTTAAAAGGAATCCACATTGGTTGGGTTGGATATTCCCATCCAACAATTTGTTCTTTAAAAATCGCATGTCGATTTTAGACTCCCAACTGGTGAGAAAGTCGGTAACGTTTTATCCACCGTTGAGAGCCTTATTCAAGGAGAGGATTGTTGAATAGTGGACCGAGTCCCACTACATTGGCTAAGTTAACCTTTTGGATTGATACAACAACTTCAATTAAGTTGGGTGGATAGGTAAAACAACATATAACGAACTAGCCCACGGGACTAGGAAGATTTGGTAGGACTTGGAGCTGCCATACCCGATGCCAGTGTTCGATTCCTATTTTTCAATTCAATACTCTCTCTGTACCAAAAATAAAATGTCTCTTTTTTCGGTGCGAAGATAGCCTCCCTATCCATAGTTCCCCGCAATCCAAGTGAAACCACAGTCAGTCTCATTACCATTCCAAATCTATGGTACAACTACTTAGAAAATCGAAGACACATCCCACATTAGCAACAATAACTTTACTATATTAAGGAAATTACTTTTGTACGGTGTAGCAACAATAACTTTACTTTATTATTTTTAATTGATCATTCATGCAATAAATAAAGAAAGTGTTCTCCACTTACTTGTATTTAAAATAAATAATCAGTCAACCATTTACTTACATTTAACATAAATAACAAATCAAAAACTATAAGTAACTCCTATACTAATTGTCCATTGTAAGAATTAAGCACGCCAGCTATTTGGATCCATCCATGCCTCTCCTGTAGTGTCTACAACCAACAGCAAATTTTCAATCGCTGTCTGTGGTCAAATTTTTATTACTCTGCCTAGCTAGGAGTATTTGATTGTATGATAATTTGGCAAATCATATAATCTTAATTTATGATAATTTGAACTAAACGGTTATTTGTCAAATGTCGAACACACACACACACATATATATATATATATTCATGATATCTTGCACTACACCCACACCACGTTTGGAATAAAACAAGAAAAACCAAAAAATGGTCCGTTTTGTTTTGCTGTATAGACTTTGGACACAATGGAATTGACAGGTCAGCGTTTTGGCAACCCCCCACTCCTCCCCCAACTTCAATTTATTGTTTCTTGATGGCCAGTCACCTACACTCACCGGCCCTCTTCCAATAATTTCCCACAAATACCCCTGGTCTGTTTCTACTCGCATATTTGCCCTCCAAAAAGCACACATGGGCCCGTATTTGCGTATTTGCTTGTTGTCTGGATGCGGATATAGATAGTATAATGCAACGAAACTAAATATATAAGAGTAAGATTGCTTGAACGAAATCCCACTTCCTCACATGGCCACTTGGTCAATTGCCCCCACCTTCCTCCTCCAACAACAACGTTAATAACAACGTTATCTATATTAGGTTTACAGGCCTATTTAAACTCATGATATATATATATATATATATATATATATATATAGGGTAAAGTGCATTTAACCCCCTGAACTTTCAGCAAAAAACACAAAACCCCCCTAAACTAAAATATACCCCCTGATCTATTAAAAATGTACAATTTAAGGACAAAATGAATAGTCTCCGGCATAAAAGGTCATCAGAGATGTTTGATTACAAAATTACCCTTTTATAAAAGGACGTCGTTTTAGTGTTTGATGGGCTTCTATTGCTGATGTGTCAAACAAATTGTGAACAGCCAATAATATTTGGACAACTCATTATCACTTTACCAAAACTTCAACGACAAATAGAGTCAGCGCCGAACCAACCAGTGAAAGTTAAGCTTTGAAACCTTAACTCATCTATTGCAACACCAACATAGCTATTGTACGAACCTCCCCCCTCCTCCCTCTCTATCTCTCTCTTCTGTCTAACTTTCTCTTCCCCTCTCTTTCCTTTTCATGGCCGATGATGGAGGCACTGCTCCGGCAGTGGTCATCGGCGTCGCGAAAAAGCGACCGCAAGGTTGCGGCTACGTAGGTGCATCACAGCTTGGAAAGGTCGACTTCATGGCGACCCATGTCCAAATCTACTGCTTGGCGACCTTATGTCGCCGTGGTATAGGTCTCCAAGTCACCGGAATCGCCCGGCAGCCAACTCACCACCACCATCAACGTGGAGAATTTTCCTCCTACCGAGACCTCTGTATCAACAACTTCGGTGTAGCACCGCTCCTCTTTTGCCGGAGATTTTAGTGGTTTGGCCGCTGCTATTGCACCAATTTTTTGGCCGGAGACTTCATTTTGGCCGCTGCGATTGCACCGTTAATGCTTAGATCTTCTCTCTCTATGTCGATTCTCTTGTTTTATTACAGCCAAGAACTTGGGCCGGAACTGGCATACAATGAACCGGGACAAAATTCGGAAGTGGGTTCGAATCCCTGTGTGAGATCGTTCGAGCTACGGAGAGTAGCCGATGAAACGGCGGTTGTCAACATCGACGGTGATGGATTCAGTTGAGCCACAATCGATGAGGTAGTGGTCGATCGGAGAGGAGGAGGTTGCGATTGCGAGGTTGATGAAAACAGATCCGGCGGTGGTGGATCGAGCTCGAAACGGATCTGGGGGAGACAAGAAGACGGCTGTGAGAACAGATCCGGCGACTGTGTGATGAGCTCTAGTCCGACGGCTGTGTGATGAGCTTTTGGTAGGCGCGGTGAGCTTGGAGATGGAGAGCTCGGCGATGGTTCACGGGTCCTATCCCGGACCTGTCTCAGTGTGCGAATCTCTTCGTTTTGCAGTTCCGGGATAATCAGTTCACCGGTGTCGTGCCTCCGACGCTAAGTTCTCTTCCCAAATTAGTGAATGTCTCGTTGCAGAACAATAAATTGCGGGGTCCAATGTCTGTAATTTGGGAAAGAATTTAGACATAAAGAGAGAAAGAGGGTAGGATTGGCATTTTCAATTTACAGCATATGCACGTGACTATTTTACGGCCAAAATTTACTGGAACAGTGTCACCTGGCTTTTTTTGCAAAAAGTGTGATAGTTTAGGAGGTTTTCTGTTAAAAAAATAGTTCAGGGGGTTTTTTGGGAGAGAGAGTAAAGTTTAGGGGGGTTTTTTGCACATTACCCATATATATATATATATATAGATAGGTGGCTACGTACTAGCTAGCTAATACGTAGTATATGTTTTTCCTTTTCCTTTTCTCAATTTCTTTGCTATTATATCGATCTCTTCATTTGGTGGTTGAGCTATCCATCCTTTCTCTGAACCACCCACCATTAAATGAAGACCATGCATCGTTCAATCCAGCTTTCTTGCAGCTAGATATCAAGTCCTAATTAATTCTTTTGGTCTTGTTTCTCCTCTTCTCCTAATATAACCTAATATAAAATATAAGTATGTATATATCTCTCCTTTAAAACTCTTATTATTATTATTTATTTTTTTCGCTCACACCCAACTACATATATCTAGTCTCTCTATTCGGTATTATTTATCTAATTTATTTATTTATTATTATTATTATTGTATATGCTTGTCTCTCTACATATATCTAGTCTCTCTATATATATCTAGTTGTCTATATGTATCTAGTCTCTCTATTCGGTAATTGTTTTTCTCTTGAGAGGCAAATTAGTTCAGCTTCTTATAGACTCACTCTTCCAATTCATGCCTTCTTGTTTACGAACCTAGCTATTAAAAAGAATTAGTATAAGACACAACCAACCAGAGACTGGCAACGAGAGATGGGTAGCGATAGCATAGAGATGGATAAGGAGAGATTAACGGCGGAGATGGCTTTTAAGGACTCGTCATCCGTCGTAATCAAAATCCGGCAAAGGTTGCCAGACTTTTTACAGTCTGTGAAGCTCAAATACGTGAAGTTGGGATACGGTTACTCATGCAACCTTGCCACTGTTGTTATGTTTGTCATTGTTTTACCTTTATTCATAGCTACTGTTTTTGAGCTCGCCGGTCTAAGGTTCGACAGGCTTTCCGATATATGGACGAGTCAAACCGTATTTCTCCACACCGCTACTGGCCTAACCGGTTCAATCGTATTGTTGTTCCTATCAGGAATCTACTGGGCCAAGCGGCCGACACCAATCTATCTGGTGGACTTTGCTTGTTACAAACCCGAAGATGAACGAAAAATGTCAATTGAATCGTTCTTGAAGATGACAGAAGAGAGCGGTGCGTTCGGAGAGGACACGATTCAATTTCAGAGAAGAATCTCGACCCGGTCCGGTGTAGGTGACGAAACGTATCTACCCAGAGGGATTACATCTAGACCTCCCAATTTGTGCATGAAAGAAGCTCGGTCGGAGGCAGAGGCAGTTATGTTCGGTGCACTTGACTCGCTCTTCAGCAAAACGGGGATTCGACCGGAGGAAATCGGAATCCTTATCGTGAACTGCAGCTTATTCAATCCAACCCCATCTCTCTCCTCCATGATCGTCAACCATTACAAGCTTCGAGCGGACATAAAAAGCTTCAACCTGGGGGGTATGGGATGCAGTGCCGGTCTCATATCGGTGGACCTTGCCAAGCACCTTCTCAGAGCAAACCTCAATACATACGCAGTGGTAGTAAGTACTGAAAACATTACGCTGAATTGGTACTTTGGCAACGACCGCTCCATGCTGCTGTGTAACTGCATCTTCCGTATGGGTGGCGCCGCCATACTTCTTTCGAATATGAGTCGGGATAGAGGCAGGTCCAAGTACGAGCTTGTCCACACGGTCAGGACCCATAAAGGTTCGGACGACAACAGCTACAACTGTGTGTACCAGAGAGAGGACAAGGACAGTGGTACAATTGGGGTTTCACTTGCTCGTGAATTGATGGCTGTGGCCGGAGACGCTCTGAAAACAAATATAACCACACTGGGGCCTCTAGTCTTGCCGTTTTCTGAACAGTTGATGTTTTTCGTTACTTTGGTTCGGAGAAAGGTACTGAAAGCGAGGAGGGTGAAGCCTTACATACCTGATTTCAAGCTTGCTTTCGAGCACTTCTGCATACATGCGGGTGGACGGGCCGTGTTGGATGAACTGCAGAAGAACCTGCAACTCAGTGAGTGGCACATGGAGCCGTCCAGAATGACGCTCCACCGCTTCGGCAACACGTCCAGCAGCTCACTGTGGTACGAATTGGCTTACACGGAGGCCAAAGGCCGGGTTTCCAGAGGTCACCGGGTTTGGCAGATTGCATTTGGGTCCGGTTTCAAGTGTAACAGTGCGGTTTGGAGGGCTGTGAGGACCATTCCTGCTGTTACTAGTAGTGATTACTCCTGCGATCTGGGTAACCCCTGGGCTGATTCGGTTCACCGATACCCGGTTAAGTTTCCTGTTGCATAACAGCTAGCTGGGTCCATTAGTTAATCTCCACGACGTATTTCTAATTTCTTGTTCTTTTTCTTTCGTGTTTTTCGTGTGTGAATGTACGCAAGTTATTTAGGAAAAAAAAAAAAAAAAAATGTACGCAAGTTATATAATTAACTAAGCATATATCTATGGGTCAAATGCTTTAATCATAAATTAAACGTGTGCAAAAATTACCCCGACACACTCGCTAACGCCGGTTGTTATTTTTACTGATTTTCTTTCTTTATTTAAAGAACGAATGCAACTGACATATACCCATACAATACAAAGGATAATACTTGGGTCCTCTATAAGGAGGATGAAGTTTATCCTTTCAGCTGAGGTGGTCCAATGTGATTAGAACACGGCTATCATATTAACAACAAAAATTCAAAAGACACCGTCTTACTCCAAACTTAGTGTGCACATTGTCCTCAATGTGTAAAAATAAAGCAGAGTTAGAACAATATTAACATACTACACTGAACTAGCAAAGATTAAACAATTTCAGCAAGAGCAAAATAGAAATATCACCCCCAAACTTGGTCCTGGCAAAATCATCACACTCCACAGCACAAATCAGAGTATTAAGTATATGAAGTAAAACAGATATATATCATCAAGCATAAGCAAATATGACCGTCCGATAAACACAAGGGTAAAATAGGCAATGAGCATGTTTATATATGAAAAATTCAGTATAATACTTTATAAAAAGACTTAGGGCAGGAATATAACATATAGAACAAAATATAACAAAAATTGACTGCCTTAGTCAACAAAAATGCCTATACATCAAAACTAAAACAGAAACTAGCTCTAATCAGCTAATCTGTAGATGGAGGAATGGCGGTAGATGTAGAAGGTAGAGAAATAGTGCGGCGAAAAAACTCGTCCAGAGTAATCCACTCGTCAGTCAGCAGGCCTCGAATAATATCCAATGCTTGAGCATGTGCAGTGTGAGACTCTGCCAACTCAGCCCTCAGTGCTCGAGCAAAAAACTCTCTGCTCGAACTTTTTGAGACAAATTTTTATTTTTTCATTTTTTATTTTTCTAAAATAAACCTAAGTCTAACTTGAGTTAATCTAACCTAAAAATAAAAATAAAAATACCTAAAATAAACTACAAACCTAGAAAACAAATGAGAATAAAAATAAAAAAATAAAAAACAAAATAAAATCAAAACAAAACAAACTAAACTAAAGTACATACATACATGTGCTAAGTTTAACGTCGATAGCTCGACACCATGCTAAGTTTAACATCGCTAGCTCGCCTCTCTACACATTACCCTCTACGTAGGGTTTTAGTCTCTGTCCATTAACTTTCCATAACTCTCCAGTCTTAGGATGTTGTAACACTACCGCACCATGAGGCGCAACAGAAGTAACCATGCATGGACCCTCCCAACATGACCTAAGCTTTCCAGGAAAAAGTTTCAGTAGTGTATTAAACAACCAAACTCTTTCCCCAGGTTCAAAAGTCTTACGTAATATGTGCCTATCATGGAGTGCCTTGGTCTTGGATTTATAGATCTTGGCACTCTCGTAAGCATCATTACGCAATTCTTCAAGTTCAGAAAGTTGAAACTTTCGATTAAAGCCAGCTAAGTTCAAATCAAAGTTGAGCTTTTTGATAGCCCAAAAGGCTCTGTGCTCCAACTCTACTAGAAGATGACAACCTTTACTATAAAAAAGATGGTAAGATGACATACCAATTGGAGTCTTAAAAACTGTTCAGTAAGCCTATAAAGCATCGTTCAGTCTCAATGACCAATCTTTACGATTTGGTTTAACTATTTTCTCAAGAATGTTCTTAATCTCACGATTGGATATTTCAACTTTGCCACTTGTTTGGGGATGGTAGGGAGTGGCAAATTTATGAGTGATGAAGTATTTGAATAGCAAGGTACGGAAATACCTGTTACAGAAGTGAGCAGTTCCATCACTAATAATAGCTCGTGGCATACCAAACTGACTAAAGGTGTTTGTTTGTATGAACACAACCACGACTGTGTGATCGGCGGTTTTAGTAGCCATTGCCTCAATCCATTTAGACACATAGTCAACAGCTACAAGAATGTACTCATAACCATTCGAAGGAGGGAAATGACCCATGAAATCAATATCCCAGACGTCAAAGACCTCTATAATTAAGATCGGAGTCAAAGGCATCATGTTCCTTCTAAAAATTGACCCTAACTGCTGACATCGCACACAAGACCTATAAAACGTATATGAATCCCTAAAGAGTGAAGGCCAAAAGAAACCGTACTGAAGAACTTTAGCAGCAGTTTTCTTTGCACTGAAGTGACCTCCATAAGTAAGTGTGTGACAAAAGGTTAAAATACTATGAATCTCACTCTCGGGAACACACTTACGAATAATTTGGTCAGCACAATATTTACAGAGTTGAGGGTCTTCCCAGAAGTACATTCGAATTTAGGAAAAGAATCGATCTTTATCCTGTTTTGACTAATGTGAAATAATTTTGCCAATTGCAAGATAATTCACAATATCAGCAAACCAAGGCAAATTCTCATGAAAAACCCCAAACAGCTGCTCATCCAAAAAGGAATCACGAACTGAAAGTGAAGTTAACGTATTCTCAATAAGAATTCTAGAAAGATGGTCAGCCACCACATTTTCTAACCCTTTCTTATCCCAAATTTCGTAATCAAACTCTTGAAGCAAGAGAATCCATCGACTCAGACAGAGTTTGGTTACTTCTTAGACAGAAGATGTCTCAAAACAGAATGATCAGAATAGACCACTACCTTGGATCCTAATAGATAAGATCTAAATTTATCAAAGGCAAAAACAACTGCAAGCGACTCTTTCTCAGTAGTGGTGTAATTCAATTATGCATCTGAGAGAGTTTTGATCGCGTAGTAGATAACATAAGGAAGTTTGTCTACTCATTGTCTTAGGACAACACGCATAGCATAATCGGATGCGTTACACATAATCTCGAATGGAAGAGCCCAGTTTGGAGGATTCATGATAAGAGCAGAAGAAAGAAGAAAATGAAGTTTATGGAAAGCTTCAAGGCACGATTCATTAAAGACAAAAAGATAGTGCTTTGCAAGTAGATTACATAAAAGACGTGAGATTTTGCTGAAATCTTTGATGAAGCGACGATAGAACTCGGCGTGCCCAAAAAATGATCGCACTCCCCTAAAGGAGGTAGGAGGAGGCAATTTAGAGATCAAATATACTTTGGCTCTATCAATTTCAATACCTCTCTCTAAAACAATATGCCCTAAAACAATACCCTCTTGAACCATGAAATGGCTCTTCTCTTAACTAAGAATAAGATTGGTCTCCCTATAACGCTGAAGAACTAGGGACAGATTTTGGAGACAGTTTTCGAAAGTGGATCTGAAAACAGAGAAGTCACCTATAAAGACCTCAAGAAACTTTTCAACCATGTCTAAAAAGATAAACATCATACACCTCTGGAATGTTATAAGAGCATTGCATAAATCGAAAGGTATTCGTCTATATGTTAATGTACCGAATGAATAGGTGAAAGTAGTTGTCTTTTGATCCTTAGGATCTATGGCCATCTGATTATAGCCGGAATATTCGTCTAAGAAATAGTAGTAACTCTGGCCAACCAACCGCTCTAGGATCTGATCAATAAATGGCAATGGAAAGTGATCATTCCTAGTAGCGAATTTGAGTTTCCAAGTATCAATACACACATACCATCCAGTGGTGGTACGCTGTGGAACTAAGTCTCCCTCAGAATTCTCAATTACAATAATACTTGACTTTTTAGGCACTACTTGTGTGGGGCTCACCCACTTATTATCTGAGATGGGGTAAATTATTCTCGCATCTAACAACTTCACAACCTTTTTCATCACCACTTCCTTCATATTGGGATTCAATCTTCTTTGGAGCTCCCGAGATGTTTGGGAATTCTCCTCTAAATTAATCTGATGCATGCAAATCGTGGGAATAATTCCTTTCAAATCAGCCACACTCCACCAAATAGCCTCTTTATTTTGCTCAAGAATTTTTAAGAGACTGCTTTCTTGGGAACTTGTAAGATTGGAAGCAATGATCATCAGTAGGGTGTCATTTAAACCCAAGAAAGCGTACTTGAGATTGTCCGGTAGTGGCTTAAGCTCATGCTTAGGTGGATACTTGAGGGAAGGAATAGGCGGAGTACTAGAAAGTAGAGAAAGAGGCTTGGTTCTAGATTTCCATGGAGGAAAATCTGTGATAGGAGTGGTGTTGAGCATAGAATTCACTTCAGCAATCGAGGATTCGATATCGAAGTCCTCAAAGTTGAAGTGATTTAGATAAGTTTCTAAAGGATCCTTGGATAGAATAGTTGGGAGTGATTCCTCAACCAACTCATCGATAACATCAAAGAAGAAGCATTCACTATCATCGTGGGGATGATGAATGGCATTGAAGATGTTTAACTTGACTTTCATATTTCCAAAAGATAAATCCATGGCGCCCATCCTACAATTAACGCAAGCATTCATTGTAGCAAAGAAAGGACACCCAAGAATGACTGGAATATATTTCTTGGAATCGTGGACTGGTTCTGTATCAAGAACTAAGAAATCGACCAAAAAATAGAACTTGTCCACTTTTTTGAGTACATCTTCAATAATACCTCGTGGTCGCTTGACAGAACGGTCAGCAAGCTATAGAACAACCAATGTAGGTTTTATATCTCCCAAACCTAAGTTCTCATACATCAAGTAAGGAATAAGATTTACCCTCGCTCCAATATTAAAAAAGTGCTCGCTCTATCACATTGTTTCCAATTATGCAAGAAATGGTAGGAGCACCAGGATCTTTAACCTTAAGGGGAGTGTTGTGCTGAAGTATAGCACTGACTTGCTCGGTGAGATAAATTTTCTTAGAAACTTGGGCCTTGCTTGAAATGGATTTATGAAAACTGTTCCCAAGAACAGTTCTCAAGAACAATTTTCAGAGAACAGTTTTTAGTTTTTTTCAGATTTCAAGCCTGCTTGGTTAAGAGAATTTACAAAACAGTTTCCGGAAAACAAAAACTCATAAAACTACTTGGTTGTATGAGTTTTTGAAAATATAATTTTCTGAACTAAAAAAATAAATAAAAATATTGTACATCACTCTTTTATTTCTTTAAATAAATATATTAACTATTAATGTGTGTGTGTATATATAT